TGGAACTAAGTGTAATAGGAAGAAGAGGTTCTTACCTCAAATGGTCCTCTGTCCAAAACCCCAAACCAAATCCTTCCACCTCCTCAAATAAATCTGAGATGGAAAAACAGGATACTACCCTAGTAAAGTTAAAGACACCTAAATGACATTGTTCTAAACACATTATAAGATAAAGAGAACTGAAGGGTAGATGGTCAGGGGGCATAATGGAAAATAACTCTAAGCCATCAGAAATCTTTGGGGAAAGACAGTGGGTATGGTTATATGAGTACATAGAGGTTATAGAGCTTTTTCTCACAAAGGAAGCATCCCATATTCTATTCAACCTGTTTAGTGAACTAAAAACAATAACAACAATAGTGCAGAAGTCCTTGGCAGAGCTATGTAGGTATTTTGGTTTAGGACCAGCTTTAATTTAAAATATAATTCTTTTTAGTGTTAAAAATTAATAAAAACACAAGGACAATGATATATCTAATTGCTCAAACAGAAAAATTATGTTGTGGACCAAAGGGGCAGCAGCAAGGTAAAGTGAAAACAAGCTGCAATACCCAAGCACCTTAAGACTTAATTGCATTTCCTACAAAGAAAGAACTCTAACCCACCTGCAATGCCAATGCCATATCATTTGAAAGTTAAAGCACAAAACACTACCTTATCAATCTAAATCACTATAATCATCACTGTGATTACTAGATTGCCATCATTTTGTAATCAATCACAACCTTAACTGGAAGACCTTAGTGCCTAACAATATTTCTTCTTATTATAGTTCATCTTGCACATTTACAAACACATAAATAGGAGCACCATACTACACTAAAATAAAGAGAAAAAGATCAACCTTGTTTATCTTCAAACTACACACTGTTTAGCTAACAGTTTCAATTGGATAATGGGAACAAAATTTTAAGCAAAAATGAGATACACCTCTTTTCGTTAATGAATATAACTCTTAAAAATCAGTTTAGAAATCACTCTCCCTCACTCCCTTTTCCAAATCAATGTCCAAGAAATTAATATAGGTATTTGCAGTCATCAAATAAGTTCACGTGTATAACAGATTCTTAGAAACTTATTGCTTCAAATGAGAATTTGGTTTAGTTTCAAAAAGTAGAAAGCAATTCCTTATAGCTAAATCTTCTAGCCAAATCAAAATGGCTACTGCTACATCAAACCAGAGAAAAATAGAAAAATAGAAAATCCAAATCAAATAGGCAATGTATGTTTTTAAATAGCTCCTCAACCTGATTGCTAATTCACAATCTCCATTAGCCAAAAATGAGAGTAAAATTTCATCTCAGATGTTTGAAAATCATATACGCAAGTTCAACTTCAAAATCCTAGTCATGTTAGACCCAATCTTTTCTTAGGAAATTCCTACAAGCAAGAAAGCAAAAAACATAAATGTCCAACTTCAAAATCCTAGTCATGTTAGAAAAACTTTCCCAAAGGACATACGTATAATGTATAACAACAACCTTTAGAATACTCGCTTCTTCTCGGTTGAAATTACTCATTTTCCTGAACTCTGATTTGTCCTAGTTTCTTCCGCAAATAGGAAAACATCGATTCGGAAGATGACAACTGGTGGATGGCTGTGGAAAAAACTGCATCCCAAGCTGAACTAGCGCACTTCAACTGATTCAAGGTCTAATATATGTTGGCTGGTAATCCTTCCAGCTTTGGCCTGGCCTGTCGACCGATACTTACAATGTCGAGTAAATGATTCATCATACAAACAAAAGGCCTGGTTCTGCAGCATCCTGTCATAGTAGAGGAAAGCAACGTCAGTTTACATATATGCCTGTGCTGTTCAAGCTGCATGTGTAATTATGGTCATATGGAGAAGTCTAGATTAGCCTCTCTTTGTTTTTTACACACCGTATAAATGAAAGAATTGTTATTATTTATGCAAGGTCTTGGTCCACTGGTGTCTTCCCCCAAGTTTTGAATTGTGGTCTTTGTTACCCAAGTTTTGAATTATGGGCAACTTTCCTCGTTTAATACGACGGCTCAGTCCAATTCAGACATAAAACCGATGATTGCACGTTTTAGACCACAAGACTTCTACATGAAGATATACCTCGTGAATTTGGTTGAGAAAAAATTTCTTATGGTTAAAAGGTATATCAATCATGATCATTTTGAATCTTTTAAACGTGTGACAGAAAACTTTTAAAGTTTTCGAAATTGGACTATGATGAGTGTACGTGGATTGAGAAGAAAAGCTTGGGTGATTT